CTGCAGCATTCTGGACACCCCTTTATTTGCGTCGACACACACACCGGTTGTGGGGGATCCAGGAAGATCGCTCTGTCGGAAACCCGTGATCGGCTTGAGTTGTGCTGCGAGACGTAACCCGTTTCCACGTTCCTTCGCTGATCCCAAGCCTCTAGCTAGCTTTTCTCCAGAAACCAACGGAGGAACACTGCTCACTTTTCATTTCACGGACGTGGAAGCAGAGGTGAGCTCGCGGCTCGGGCGATCGCGCGAGTGACCGTGCCCTGGTCGATGGATGGCACGCACGAGCCAACGGGAGCCCGAGCGGCGGGGCCACGAAAGCGGGGGCCTGGCGGTCACTCGACGCTACCCCGGCGCCGGTGGGGCCCTTGGGTTCCTAGTTGGAGGCTCGCTGGATTCCAGATTCTTTCAGCTCACCACTAGCCTGCCGCCGGCGCGACCAGTGCCTCATTTTTAACCACGAGATTCTCTGGACCACAGCTTTTATCCATCTCGGATCCTTTTTTCAGCCAAAAGATTAGGTAATAGCCAGTGGCCGACTGGCCGTCGCTTTCCCGATTTGTCTCGTCCGTGCATGCACCATGCAGTCACGCAGATGCGCCTGCCCTGAATCTGCCTGTGCGAGCAGCCAACCGCCCGATCTGACGACGCACAGACGGCGTGGTGGGGGCGGTGAATCCCGGAGGATCACCCGGTTGGATCCCGTGATCCGCTGGAGTTGTGGTGCGAGACGGAAGGTGGTTGCCTGACACGTTCCGCCCGCCGCTGTTTCATTCCAGCCTCCTACGCCCTGCTTTTCTCCGGAAACCAACAAAAAAGAGAGCGCTCGCTTTCCATTCCGTGGAAGCTGACCCTATGCATGCAGTGTAGTGCAGCGCGGAGGTGTGGCTGTGTCCCGTTCCGGTGGGTGGATGGCACGAGGCAACGCTAGCCCGAGCGGCGGGGCTACAAAGGCGGGATCATCGCGCCACAGCCACACCCCCTGTGCTGTGCTGTGCTGTGGGAGGAAAGGGACGAACCGCCAAGCCACCCCAACCGCAACCCACATAGGCCACACACGCACCAGCGGCGGGCAGGCGGCGGCTCATCATGGCTCCCTCCTCCACCTCCACCTCGCCCCCCTCCGTCGTCGTCGTCCTCATCCTCCTCCTCTCCGCCGTCCCGGCCCGCCTCGCCTCGATCCCCGTCTCCGGTGCGTGACCCATTTAACATGCGCGCAGGCCGGACGCTTGTCCTCGGGATTAAACTGTTTCTCATCCATGGTTATTTTTGCCGAATCGAATCAGATGGACTGGAGCAGCTAGGAGGAGGAGAAGGCCTGCACCGGGAGATTCTCAGGGACGAGACGGTGCTGAGGCTCAAGGAACTCGGCAAGGTCAGATTCTCTCTCTGCCCATCCACTATGCCGCCGGCTCTTGGTCTTGGGTTGGGAATATTCAGACTCCGTTCCTGATCCGCTTTTCCAGCTCCACATATTCAGAGCTCCTTGATCCACTTTTCTAGCCCCAGATACGAGAATCTTGTTTCATTCATTATCACTGCACTTTGACTCGTTACCTCCTCCTAATTAAGCTCCTATAGATACACAGAAGAAAATCTGGGCTTCCTTGGCTACGGTTATATCATCCGTTCCTGAATTCAGAAATAATTGTGCAGTACCACGCAACAGTGATCAGCTGTGCATATATTGCCTATGGCATTTTCTAAGCAACACGGCTTCTCTTGGCAGAAGACTGTGCAGCACACAACAGCCATAAACTGTGCAAATTGCACATGACTTGTCTTTGCACAAGATTGCGCAGTACGCAAAAGTGGTAAAACTGTGCGTATTGGATATGTCATTTTCTTAAGCAAGATGACTTCTCTTTGCACCAGAGGCCACCTCATACAACAAAAATACCAAAACCAGTTCAATTAATAACGTTGGTTATGTACTTTTTTCGGCAAGTAATTGGTTGGGTGTTAGCGCAGCAATCAAAACCTTTTTTTTTCTTTGTCACGTTTCAATCGTCTTGTTCGATCGTGCTTCCCTAGCCATCTTACATAATCTTGTACATGCCCTGTTTTTTGGGAGAGATAACCTGAAGCAATGATGGTTTGCTCAATTTTCACTTTTTCTAGCTTGATTACTTTGCTGTATCCAATATGAGCAATTTCTGGTCTCCAAGACGTATTGGAGCGAGACTCTTGCTGCATCTTTTGTCTTACTGTTTGGCACCATAGCAGTTCAGCAAAGCAGGAGGCACGTAACTCACTCTAACACCGCGTTGATTGCATGATTCAGATATCTGATGGCGAAGGCTTCCTCGAAAGGACATTCCTGAGTCCCGCTTCCTTCAGAGCCACTGATGTCATTATCAGCTGGATGAAAGATGCCGGACTTGCGACGTAAGTCTGTTTGCATTTGCAGTCATTTTCTCACGCTTCCAACTTTAACTGACCAGTTCATGTTCATTATGAAGGTGGGTGGATCAAATGGGTAATATTCATGGTCGATTTGAACCGTCCAATTCAACAGAGAAGGCTTTATTGATTGGATCTCACATGGTGAGAACTATCAACTATCAACTCCTTGTTTCATGTTGTGATTCTTTTAGTTATCAAAGAGCTACCACTGACTGAAGCTGTCTTATATTTGAAATTAAAACACAGGATACTGTCATTGATGCTGGCATGTACGACGGAGCTTTGGGTATTATATGCGCAATCTCTGCTCTGAAGGTCTTGAGAGTCACTGGAAAACTTCAGAGGCTCACTAGACCAGTAGAGGTTAGATAATTTTCTAGTGTTTCCAGTTTAATGTTGCTGTTTTTTCAACTGAATTTTAATATTGATGTTACTATGCTATCAGCATAGTGTGCTTGTCTCACTGCAATCAGTGAGCTGGTTACGCGAGCCATTATCCTATTGCTCACAGGTGCACGATGACTCACATGCGTCTCACAAATACGACACCAATCTGCACTGAACTCGTCCTTGTCTTGTGTATTTAATTTCACTTCCTCAGAGTGCTTTAATATTGATTGTTCACTAGTTGCTTCCAGTCAGCATAATCCATCAGGATGTTTTTTTTCTTTATTTTACTAAATGACGTAGCAAAGTTTTAACTTTTAGCAGTGTCTGTTGCCTAATTGCTTCAGATCTAACTTTTGCGGTGCTGATTAGATAAGCAGGTGTGAGGTCTGCTGCCATTGTAATAAGATAACCAGACAAGCTACAAAGATAGATGTAGGCCAGAAGGAATCTAGTTTTATAGTGTTTCTCTAAACGTTTGTCCCTTTCCATGCTAATCTTGACGATAACATGTACCGTTGTATGTGTACGTGTACATGGCTAATGGATTGGCTTTCGTTATCTTAGCCGTTTTGTTATTCAGGATTCATATATAGCCTATTAGATGTCATGTGGTTTGACCCATCATGACATATGCTATTGCATTGTCTTTAGATCACAGATATGCATCATGAATGTCTGAATATGTCACTATGACAGAGCATGGTGCTCATTTTCTGCCTGGTTTTACCTCAGGTGATTGCATTCAGCGACGAGGAGGGCGTTAGATTTCAGACAACATTTCTGGGAAGCGCCGCTGTAGCTGGTATTCTACCTGAATCAATTTTGCAAGTATCTGACAAGAGGTTGCCCTTTCTGCATAAACCAACCGGACTACTTTTTGAAAACGGTTTGCTGATGCAGTCTCTGTATGTTGCATTCAACTTCTTCAGTGGCACTACCGTTCAAGAGGCTCTTCGGTTGAACTCCTTCGAGGCCACTGCTGCTGCTCTTGGTCAGGTCAAGTACAGCCCGGAGTCTGTCGGCAGCTATGTTGAGGTATAAAGGATTTGCATATCACTTTTGTGTAGTTGCTTACACTGAAGAAGTTCAGTTCTTACAATCTCTGTTTATGTACGGCAGGTTCACTTGGAACAAGGGCCTGTCCTGGAAGCCCTCCGATATCCCCTTGGCGTCGTAAAAGGGATCGCAGGGCAGACACGATTGAAGGTGCATTCTAGTTCTCTGCTATTTTTTTTCCGCTAGAAAGTAAACATCAACACTATCTTAAGACCAAAATATAATCAAATCAAAGCAAACTAAAATATGACCAAGTAGCATAGCACACTATGTAAAGACTAGCTTTTGCAAAACAATCAGGTTGCTATTTGAATACCAACTATTTCAAAATCATCAGCCAGCACCGCCTGTTATTAACGAGTAAACAATCATCAGCGGTCTTTTTTTTAATCGGTCAGCAGTCCTCTTGTTTGAGCAAATGATGCGAGCAGTCAACATGAAGCATTTAACTAACCCCTTGCTAGTTCGCTGCGACGGTATGAGCGTGTGCTATATTTATCAGATTAAGAATCACTCCTAGTGAACCGCTGAGATGACACGAGTATCGCCATCACCAAAGTTGCTATGTTTGATAAGAATTATTCAGCCCTCCTGCTCTCAGTGTGATTTTAGTACGACCAGTCTCAGATTCCTACAGCAACCACTGGCCCAAATCGACCCCTAGCTCTGTGGCCTTTGCTTCCTAAGTTCGAAATGCTTAGAAATTTTTGGCTGTTTGATTAGGTAATAGTAGACGGTTCCCAAGGGCATGCTGGGACGGTTCCAATGAAATTGCGCCGTGATCCGATGGTTGCAGCTGCAGAGCTGGTGGTGACACTGGAGGGCCTGTGCAAAGACCCGAGCAGATTCCTGACCTACGACGAGGAGTGCGGCTGCTTCACCGAGGAGTCCCTCGCCGGCCTCGTCTGCACCGTCGGCGAGCTGCTCACGTGGCCCAGCGCCAGCAATGTCATCCCAGGCCAGGTAAGCTCATCACCAGGTGCTTGTCATTGTCTATGTCCAGCATCGATCGAGTCGCCTCACCTGTCGACGCCGGTCACCAGGTGAACTTCACGGTGGACATACGCGCCATGGACGACCTGGTGCGGGAGACGATCGTGGCGAGCTTCTCGCGGATCGTCATGCAGCGGTGCGACCACCGGCTGGTCGACTGCGCCGTCGAACACAAGGTAGCCTCAACTGCTGCTGAGGCATTTGACGGCGGCGCATGAGCTGAATCATTTAACGGCCGGTGGGATGTGTTTATGTGCTTGCAGCACTCGGCGGCGGCCACACCGTGCGACCCGGAGCTGACGGCCCAGCTGAAGCGTGCGACGCGGTCGGCGGTGTCGGCGATGGCGGCGCCCGGCGGCCACGCGGCGGTTGCCGGGGAGTCGACGCCGGTGCTGATGAGCGGCGCGGGGCACGACGCGATGGCGATGGCGCGGCTGACGCGGGTGGGGATGCTGTTCGTGCGGTGCCGCGGCGGGGTGAGCCACTCGCCGGAGGAGCACGTGGCGGAGGACGACGTGTGGGCCGCCGGGCTCGCGCTGCTCCGCTTCGTCGACCAGCACGCCGTGGCCGAGCTGTGAAATGTGAATGTGATTGGTCGGTTCGTGCCTCCGGATGTGTGTACATATGGATTGAACTGGGCCGGGCTGCCGTCCCATTGGGCCTCCCAGAAATAAACGGGTCTCTTCGCTGAGACTCTTTATTCACGAAACGGTGTGACCGGTCGTCGGTTTGGATGGAGAGCGCACGGTCCTTTGTCGACTGCATCGAAGCACTTTCTGAGCTCCCAAACATAGAAACGGCTTCAATAGAGTCTCAGAACTTGAGAATATAATCTCTAACACGGTCCTCAAACATGGAGAACCGGTCATGCGATCAGTGGCGGAGCTTGGGCTGAATTTATGGAGGGGCAAATGGGCTGGAGGGGCAAGAAACATGCTTTTAGGT